AAGCCATCAGTCAACGGGTTTCTGCCCAAGGATGTAACAAACACTACTTTATCGCAACGACACTCTCAAAGAATACTTTGATTGAAGGGAGAATCGAGTTCAATCTGTTGTTCACAACCAGAACTAGGTGATAACGATCAAGCCATAGGCAATCTATGAAGGAACATGAAGGTACAGGAGAGGGTCTCGACCGGCCCAAAGATCGTCTCAAGTGTGGCGAGTGAAGAAGTGGCTGACGCACCAGACTGTGGCTGAGCTCTTCACTCCACACCACCACGTGCCCAATTAGGTAATAAAGGTACAGGAGTACTTGGGAGCCCGGTCCCGCGCCCAGGCCGCCGAACTGCACATCACACACTTGGCTCCAATCATCTCCAGTCAACCTACCAAGGAACGAGAGGAACCCAGGCGAGTATGACATCGCCACGTCCAAAGCTCTCTCCACCGCCAGTCCTGCCAGTGTCTTTCTCTCAGTCCGTCTGCTAGCACACTGGGGATATCAGACCAAGGAGACCATGATATCACCCGTCCACTTGGCACACACCCGTCTCGTCTCGCATTTCTACCACGCTGGCAGGCCGCAGCATCGCCCGTCCATCGTGCCCGTCCCCGTCTCAGCATGATTGCCAGACAAGGACCACCCCCGGCCGACGGCGTCCATACCCCCCGACTGCCCGGTCCTTTCTGTGTTCTCTGCTCTTCTACAGCTTCTGCAGAGCCCACTTTCAATCACTCCCTCTGGTTCCATCTCGTGCCAAAGAAGGCTGCAGGAGTTCTTCGGTCTCGCCATTCGTAACAATTGCAACATGATATGTAGTCGCAAAAATCCACCCAGGCCCGGTTGTGTTCCGTGAGTGAGTGGACTCGTGTAAGTGTCGGGGTGTTACTGTCACTGTCCCATCCACTCCCATCCCATCTGAACATCCAAACAGGGCTGCGCGGTGCCTGCGTCCGGTGCAGCTCGCTCGCATGCACACAAGCACATGCACATGCACGCCTTTTTGCCTCCCTTCCCCTCTACCTACCCTTCCCATCTGATCTTCCAGCGGAAAATGGAGTAGACAAGCGAAGGAAGCAAGCGGCGGCGACGGTGCCCGGGTACGCCGGTGTGAGTGTACACAGTAGTAGAGACAGGCAACAGAGAAACAAGGTTATTACGGCACCTCCCTTACCCATTTACTTTTCTATTCGTGTCATTGGGCGGAGTGCGCGTAGGAAGAGTGAGGAAGGCAGTGCCACCCATCGTAGAGTTTGGATATAAGTCACCACAGCCCGAATGCTCTTGCCTCGTCACCTGCTTCTCATTTCTTCCACTTCCAGGTCGATTTTGGTTCACCTCTCCGCGTCACTCCCTCTCTTCGGACTCACCCCCTTCACCTACTCTTTCTCAACACAACACAAAACACAAACCTCGACCCAAGCAGAAAATGGACAAACCAACCCACAGCCCCGCCACCCCGGCCCCAACCAACATCCCAACACCGGACCCGAACCCGTCAGACAACTACACGACCTCCGGCCCGCCCCCAGAATACCAACAACACCAACACGCACACCTCAACAACCAACCCACCGGCACCTCGATGCCAAAATACGGCGGCCCATCCCCTCACAGCCCGCCCCCTCCCCAGAACTACGGAGGTTACGTCCCGCCGCAAAGCTACCCCCTCCAAACCGGCGGGCCCCAAAACTTCCAGCCCTACGGCACCCCGCTGCCTTCCCTCGGCCCCCACCCGGCGCCCGTCGAGTGTCCCGAGTGTCACGCTCGGGGCGTCACGGCGGTGGAGTATACCTCCGGCGGCTTCACGCACGCTCTCGCTGCGCTGGTGTGCTTTGTGAGCTGTTTGGGGTGTATTCCCTACCTCTTTTCCTCGTTGAAGGATGCGAGGCATAAGTGTTCCAAGGTATGTTTCTTCGTCTGTATTCTGAAGTGGTTAGGAGGGTCGTCGGCTAACAAAGTAACAGTGTGGAATTCCGTTGGCGACATATCACCGCAGCGGTAGAACTGAAGTCCATTGGCACCAGGCTTATAATGCCTAGGCGATGGCCCGGGCAGGATAGGAGCTTGCAACATATCTAGTCAGGGGCGTTGGTTGGGGTACGAAAGCCGGCGGATAATTTGACCCAGGCTGAGGTGGATGGGCTAGAGCAGTATTCATGGGGTCGAACCAGTTTGATTATGCGAGGCGTAAAGGATACCCATTCTAGTTTTTTTTCTTTAAGAACACGAAATCGCGCTTGAAGCGGCTGCATTATATTTCATCCAAAGGTTTCCACTTGCTGGCACTACAGTTTTGCCGTTGTATGCACTCAACCTCTAGAGCTGGGCGCCGAGCGTATGGCCACAGCCGGGATATCGTTGACGGGGCACCATTCTCCATGCAGTTTATCCATACAGTAGTCGTCCACTGTGTACCATTTTCAACATCATATCAAATATTAGTCCTCATCTGAGGCGAGAGCCAAATTGAAAGCCCAGCGAGGACATGTTGCGGGTATCTATTCGATCATGTACAAGCTCTCCTAAAATCTATATCATCAGCGAAGGCATCACGTAATCGTCAGATCGTACGCCGTACTTTTGACCCCTTTTGACGCCTGCCTCCGGTTTGCCCATGCTTCTCGTATGAATCGTTACGCCATGATCCTGTATTTGCTCCTGTCGCGATTACTCAAGTTGGCGACTCAGCATCCCGTGTACACACGATGTACACACCACGGCGCGAGTCGCCCTCGGCAATCGTCGTGACGTTGTCTTGTGGTGTCATCTGCCCCATATGTCATCTGTCGTCAAATGACCTCATATTGAGGGTGCTGTTTAGTTGGCGAATATGCGCACATTCAGGTCGACACTTCCCGTTGCGATGACGCAGCGTATTGAGACATCCTGGGGCTTTGCCACCGCCTTGCTCGGTGTGCCGTTGGCACCATTGGCACCATCGCCGTTGGTGGCCGCCTCCCTTGCAATGCCAGGGGCCCAGCGCAGACAAGAAACAAAGTGGCCGTGGACGTCGTCCAGAACCTTGACGCATTTGCCCTCTTGCGCCAGATCCCAGCATCGCAAAGTCTTGTCATCAGACACACTAAGCAAGTACTTGCCGCCGGGGTGGAAAACCAGCGCGCGTACCCAATTGTCGTGTCCCAGCAGAGTCTTGATGCAGTTTCCACGAGCGTCCCATAACCTGATTGCCTTGTCACGGCTGCCCGTTGCCATGAACTCGGCCGTGTTCGTTGCGGGCGGAGCCTTCTTCAGGCCGGCCAATGACGCCAAGTGACTGTAAGCCGTCGGCGGTGCGAGCGTGCAGCATTCTACAACGTGCTCGTGTCCAACCAGCATCAACTTGACTTCGGGATTTGAGGCGTTGATATCCCAAAGGCGGCCCGTCTGGTCGTTCCCTGTTGACAAGAGGTAGCGTCCGTCCGACGATGGGCAGACGTCTCGTACCCAATCCGCATGCCCGCGCAGTGTCTTGACGCAGTAGCCCGTTGACACATCCCAGATTCGTAGTGTCTTATCACGACTCGCCGACACGAGAAGGTTTCCCGTGGCACCTGCGGCTCCCGAAGGAATGAAGCGAACCGCACTGACGCTGTGGTCGTGGCCAGGCAACGTCCGAATATTCTTGTACTCGTCTGAGGGGTCCCATAGCTTGATGGTCAAATCACTCGAGCATGAGGCAAGCAGCGTCGCACCGCGGGGCCCTCCAAAATCAACATCCAAGACGGCCTTTGTGTGTCCCTTGATCGTCCTCTCGAGTTCGCCTAGCTCCCAGTCCCAGATTTTGATGGTGTAGTCTTCCGAGCCAGAGGCGAGCGACGAAAAGACGGGGTGAAATGCTACGCAGGTGATCGGGTCGCGGTGGGATTGCAGGGTGTGTCGGGCGGGGGAACGTGGCAGCCAGCTGGTGGGGTCCTGATTCCGTCGAGATAGTGAGGTTGGTGTCGCATTGTCGAGTTCTGATTGCAGAGCAGCACTTCGAGACTCGAGTTCCATGATCTAGAGAGAACGTTGTTGGTCAGCGCCGCTGGAAGCAATCATCCAAGGCCATTACGGACGAAACGAACCTTTTTCTGCAGTCGCACTACACTGGTCCATTTCTTCTCCAGCAATCCCTCATACTTCTTCGAAGTGGCGGCATCGAAAGAGTCGCCAATCTGCAATTCTTCTCTGAGGGCATTTGCAGCATTAGGGAGGTTGCTCGAGGAGAGATACGCGATAATGGCCTTGTGCCTGCCACCGGCTGGTCAGTATGTCGCGTCCATGGCCACTCTTTGGGCGAAGAGGGTGGGAACCTACAGCTCCTCTGCTTGCCGAGGGGTGAGGATTTGGCTCATCCTGACAGACGGTGGAAGCTACGTAAGTAACGGATTGCTTGCAAGTAATTACAAAGTTGAGAGGCACTGGTGGCACAAGATGGCACACACGAGCAGATGGAAACGAAAGATGTGTGATTTGGTGGTTTGTTATCGAGGTGCGTCTGCAAGGCGGTGCTCGGGGCTCCGTCTGTCGGTGGTGGTGGTGGTGGTGGTATCGCAGCAACCGCGATGGGCGCGCCACGTGCAATCGGAGGTGGCAGAAGCTGGCCGGAAGTAAAGACGAGGCTGATGGAAATTCGGAGGCGGTCGGGGAGGACAGGAATTGGTAGCCTCGTTAATCGGATATTTTATTGCAGCGACGGCAGGATGCAGAGGTCAGGCAGGTCAGGGTCGAATTGGCGGGGACCAGGGCCAAGTGGCAGATATTCGCGGAGTTGTAAAGGCGGTGTCGGTGTTGTTGGTGTCCAAGCTCTCGATATTCTTTGGCTGTGCAAGGGTGGATAGTTCCTCTCTGTGTGTGTATCTTTCCTTCAGCGGGTGTTTTCAGTCAGGGGTTGGGCTCCCAGGCGTTGGGCAGCATAGCTTTGTGCGTTACAACAGCAGATTGCAGGATTGAATCGAGTTGTCTCTTTCAGAGTACGTGGGTATGTCTAGGAGCAGTGACTTTTTGGAGGGGAGACAATATGTCCAAGAATGCGAGGCGAGACGAGACGAGGGGTGCAAGTGCGAGGCTCGGCCAAAAGATGACGCTTGAAGGTGGGCATGAGCCGGAAAGGCGAAATGTTTCATGTGCTTCGGGCTGCGTTGGCTGCGTAGGGAACTCCCTGAAGAATTGGTGGGAGATGAGGCGGTGCGTATGGCACTGGCGGGGGGCCCTCCGATATGCGAGTCCCAGATATTCTGTATGGAGTACGCTGTATCTGTATAGGCGTATGGGACCCTGGGGAAACTTCTTCGACGACGACGAGTGTTCAATGCGTGTGGCACTCACTGGTAGAGGGAAAAGATGGGAGAGAAGAGGTCAACCATGTTTGGTGGGGTGGAATGAAGTGTGGCTGGTGCAGCGCATAGGCACTAATGGGGCCTGGGAGATGGTAGTGTGGCTGGTGCATTGCCAGCTGGTCTCTTTCAGGTACTGTGGAGGGCTGAAGTTGTACGTCCCTCTTTCCCCCAATGACATCACAGTGTTGGACCGTTTCTATGGCAATAGACAGAGCTTTCATTGGCCTGAGATTCTTCAGCGTCAACATGTGGTTCATCCACTTTTGCAGCTGTCACAGCCAACCAGCCGTAACAGTCTATTCGGTCAATTGATTCTTTGGCAAAAAGACATTTGCAGCATCATTGCTTAAATATTAGGGAGCAAACTACTATACTACCGTGCAAGCCTCAGGGTGGAAATGCCTGATTCATGGCATGATTTGCCATCTTTAAATGAGTGGATATGTTAGAGTGGCTTATAACGGTCATTAATGCGCAAATTGAGCAAGCGCATGTTGGGTGCTTGGGCCTGGAAGCAGAGAGGAAAAAGGAAGCAATTTGGTTAGATGGCCGGCCCTGGCTTTCATGACTAAGGCTCTGAGGGAACAAGCACACAAGGTAAGCCCAAGGTGAGGCCAAGGTGAAGGCAGTTGAAGGCAGGTGAATAGCCAATGCCCCGCCATCCATGCTATCAAATCTTATCGAGTGGTAGAGAATTGAAAGTCATCATGTGATCTGTGTTGACCCTGGAGACCAGCGACCCAATCATATTCATGCCCAACTGCCCGATGCGCGCCCATCTGCTGTGTTCCCCCCACACACAAACACGTCAGGCCAGGAACAGGGAGAAAAGGGCGCCCAATGCAGGCGCCCACCATCTGGCAACCCTGACAGAAGCCTTGAGGTGAACGGTGAACCAAATCCAAGCAAAGCACCTGCTGGGCCCGTCCCCTCCGCCCTTGTCCCGACAACCAAAATTCCCTGTGCTCTTCGGACCAGCACAAACAGAAGAAACCCCAGCCGTACTTTTCCTCCACATTCCACACCCTCAGACTGGCGACGTTGGCTTTGTACCTTCACCTGCAACAACCACACTACGGGAACTACCTCTAGCCTCCTTTTCTCTGTCTTCTCAAAGACCTGATTTGACTTCCTCCAGTCCCGGTCCCTTGTTTCCACGAGAACCATCACCGCACATACCTCACATCTCTCTGTCTCCCCATACCTATTGCTATTCCTATACTGCTAGGAACCTTCCTCGCAATCTCCAACACCTCGAAGGATACTTTCACAGCTCCCACCCACCTCGCTCACTGCCAGGTACCTTGCCAATCCCACATTGGCTTGACGATCAACAAGTCTTTGGCTGCTGCGACAACCTCAAACTGACCTGATCTGGTTCAGCTTGGCCATCATTCTGTAAGTCATGCCAGCCTCTTGCGTCCATATCACCACAGACATCGCCAGTCACTGCGCCTGCAGCTGCCGGCAGCCTGCATACCATTGCGTTCTGCAGCTTCTGACTGTCCTCCTTCCTCAATATGGACCGTCATCTCAAACATACTCGTTCCCTGTCGAGGCTAATCAGACGTGTAGCTAGCTTCAGAAAGCCAGACATCCACGACAAGGAGAACTGCACCCCCGATTCAGCTCTTCTTCCTCCTCCTCCTACTCCAACCCCTCCACCACCCAAACCAACCCCTACTACACCCCGCCAGCAAGCCTCCATTCCGATGGCTGAAGAAGAAGACTTTAGCTCCCTTCCCCTCCAGGATAGGTTTACCCACAAGGTATGACGTTGCCGCCTCTGCTGCGCCGTGTTTGATGCGCTGACGCGCCGCAGGTTTGGAAAGTCAGAAAGCAGGCCTATGAAGACGCCGCAAAAGCCTTCGCTGCTACTGCCGACGAGTACGACAATGCCTTCAGACCCTTCCTCTCCGACTCGGGCCTCTGGAAAGGCGCCGTCGCCGATTCCAACGTTGCTGCCCAACAAGATGGTCTGGCGGCGTACTGCGCGTTTCTCAAATTCGGAGGAAAGGAACACTGCACAAGGACGCGCGGAACTACGATAGGGCCTATCTGTGAAAAGGGTTTGCCGTCAACGCGTGCCGCTGCCAAGGAGTCATCTCTCGAAGCCCTTCTACTACTCGTCGAACTCGATGTTGCCGCCCCAGTCATCGAAGAGATTATCCCGGCGCTTGCCAACAAGCAACCAAAGGTTGTCGCCGCGGCTATTACCGCCCTGACCGCAATCTACCACAACTTCGGATGCAAGACCGTCGACCCCAAGCCCGTGTTGAAGGTCCTCCCCAAGGCATTTGGTCATGCCGACAAGAATGTCCGTGCTGCCGCGACGAACCTTGCCGTCGAATTCTACCGATGGCTGCGCGAAGCCATGAAGCCCATGTTCTGGGGCGACTTGAAACCCACTCAGCAGACCGACCTCGAGGCGCAATTCGAAAAGATCAAGGCCGAGCCAGCTCCGAAGCAAGAACGATTCTTGCGCTCACAACAAGCCGCCATGGCACGTGCGCCCCCACCCGGAGCCGACGACGAGTACGATGATGGTGGAGACTACGGCGAGGAACCAGCCGAGATGGACGCCTTCGACCTGGCGGAACCCCAGGATGTCTTTGGCAAGATCCCCGCCAACTTTAACGAAGCCTTGGCCTCGTCCAAATGGAAGGAGAGAAAGGAAGCAGTGGAAGGTCTCTACGCGGCAATCAACGTGCCAAGAATCAAGGACGGCGACTTCAACGAGATCAACCGAGGGCTGGCAAAGTGCATGAAGGACGCCAACGTTGCTGTTGTGACTCAAGCCGCGCAGTGTATCGAGGTCTTGGCCAAGGGATTGCGGCAAGGCTACGCAAAACACCGCACTACTGTGATGCAACCCATCATGGAACGCTTGAAGGAGAAGAAGGCAACGGTGGCAGATGCTCTCGGCGCTGCGCTTGACCAAGTCTTCCTGGCTACAAGTCTGACTGACTGTCTTGAGGACATCAATACCTACCTCGTCCACAAGAACCCCCAGATCAAGGAGGGCACCATGAAGTTCTTGATTCGTTGCCTCAGAACGACACGCGATGTGCCGAGCAAGCCCGAGATCGCGTCCATTGTCGAGGCAGGCAAGAAACTGTTGACCGAGTCCAGCGAGGGCCTCCGTTCAGGCGGTGCTGAGATTTTGGGCACTGTCATGAAGATCATTGGCGAGCGCGGTATGGGTCCGCACATGGAAGGCCTAGATGATATCCGCAAGACGAAAATCAAAGAATTCTTCGAGACGGCTGAAGTCAAGGCAAAGGAGAAGCCGAAGGCACCCCCGCCAGCTGCCAAGGCACCGCCCCCGAAGAAGGTCGTCGGAGGGAAGAAGCCCCTGGGCATGAAGAGACCGGCCATGCCGGCGGCAAGCGCTCCGCCGCCCGCCGACCCGGAACCCCTCTCCCCACAAGCTTCATCTCGTCCCAAACCCGCAGGCACCAAGATGGGCATGCCGAAGCCGTCGGGCTTGGCCGGCCTCAAATCCAAGCGCCCTCTCGGTGCACCAGCGGCGGCCGGATCCCCTCGACGCCCTGCTGCCGCACCAATTATGCCCGACGATGATGAGCCTGCTCCTCCCCCGCCTCAGCCTCGCATTGGCCTTGGCAGAGGTGGTCTTGCAGGACGATCTCTTGCGAAACCTGCTGCCGCTCCTGTTCAGATGCCTCCTGCATCGCCGCCGCCTTCCAGCGGACTCACGGCAATGGAGCGGGCTGAACTCGAAGAACTCAGATCGGCAAACGAGCGCCTGACACGCCAAGTGGAGGAAATGAGGCATGAAAGGAGCAAGTACATGTCTGAGATTCAAGAGTTGAAGAACCAAAATGCGGGTTTGATTGAAGACCATACCCGTGATGTCCTCAGCATCAAGGCCAAGGAGACGCAGTTGGTTCGTGCAAGAAGTGATGCAGAGGCCACGGAGTCGACGAACGATCGCCTCAGACGGGAGCTGGATCGCCTTAAGAGAGCGCTCAACCACGCCGAGGCCCTGAACTCAAGGACAGGCATGGGCAGCCCAGGTAAGATAGCAGCTTCTTCTTTCAGTGAGTGTTCATGTACTGATGTAATCGCAGGTCTTGCTTCGCCTACGCACGACGACGCCGGTATCTACCGCGACGCATCCTACGGTTCATCTTCTGCTCGACACAACCGTGTTAGTTACGCCAGCAACATGTCTGAGGAGAAGGAGAACGGAGACCATCACTACCCTCGCTCAAAGGCACTCAGTCCCGAGCTTAGGTATACGGGCAGTGCATCTTCCGGACGTGGCAGCCCTGCTAGAGGCTACAGGAGTTCTGCGGCCACCCCCGTTGATGATATACCGGCACCGTCATACTCGTCTGGCGGCGGCGGTGGAGGCGGTGGCATGAACTCGAATAACAACGGTGTGGAAAGCTGGAAGCGTGCAGCTGAAGTGACCAGCCAACTGAAAGCCAGGATTGAACAAATGAAGGTCAGTTGTCATCTTGATCTGGTATAATCTGTTTCCCATCACTAACAATTCTTAGGCGAAACAAGGATTTGCCCGTCCTTGAGCTCGACGGCCGAACCACCCGGTGCCAGATGGCCCGCTGGATACTGACGTGAACATGAAGAGGGGTTTTGTTTGGGGTCCGTAATGGTCACGGTTCAAAGGGGGGAAATCCTGCGTGTTCTTGGTTGCATATCACTGGCGTCGGAAGCATACCCCATACCTTATCTCCGGCCTGCAGTTGGGATAGGTAATTTCCGTCTGTATGAGTTATGCATTTTCACCTCTATTGTCGGCTCGCTTGTATAACCTCGAGGGGCGCGAGTGTACTTAATTAACGATGATTATGAATAAGAGTCTGCGATACCAGTCACTATGGAAGCATGATACCTTTGGCAGTTGCAAGCGTGTCATTCTCGATCTCATCGCACCGTTAGCATCGTACTTAACTAAAAGGTAAAGATTGTTATCAGTGGTAGTTGACTAGAAACCTGTCACTTATTCCCATCCAGTTCTCCAATGCGCCCAAACATCAAAACCACCCTTCAAATCGCGAGGTACACGACGATACACCACCCAAGCTTAATGTACACAAATTCCTCGCTGACCAAGCCAAGAAAGATAGGAAGAAGTGAATGTTGCGTAGTAGCCGAGAAATCCAAGTCGAGACAGCCCTCAACCAAGCCTGACTGTCCCAACTCGACTCCTCAAGCCAATATGGAGCCGCACCTTTAGAATCGAATAAAATGCCTAAACCACCCAGCCGTACTATAATCCAGCATGAACTTTGGAATGTACTTGGGCTTCGGTTCCATGTCCTTCACAGCCTCACTCTCTCCCTTCCCCGTCTCCCTCTGCGCCTCCTCCATCTTGGCACTCTTCCCACCAACAGGCATCGTATGAACCGAAGGCCTCATAATGTGAACATTCACCTCGACCGGATCAACCTGAATGTGCGAGCGTTTATCTTTCGCGATATTGATCCGCCCATCATGTTCCTCGAGAAGCACGTCTCGACGTTTTGTGAGGAGAGACGAGGTGAATTGTGACGATGACTTGATCCTGCTGATGACGCGGACGGGATCGACGCGTAGGGCGGAGAGGTCGACGTTGTCTACGCCGATTTTGCCCGTGTGGATGCCGAGGTCGTGGGGGGGTGGTGAGTCGGGGGTTGGGGCGAAGACTTTGTTGTCTTTTGCGGTGGGGAGGGCGAGGGTTGTTGGGAGGAGGAGGGTGAGGAGAGATGTTGTTAGATGCATTGTTTTGTGGTGTTTTAGTTGTGTGGTTGTTATGATGATGGCTTCAGAGTCGAGTGACAATGACAACTGTTGCGGTGTCTTGGACTTGGATGGTGAGGCGGTGGGGGGGTTCCAGAGTCTGGGGACTTATACCACCCACCGAAGACGAAAGAAGCTTTTCCTCCATGATTCCACCGGCTGCATCAAAGTTGGGATCGGGAAAAAGAGGGGATCGCAAGAACAGTCCAAACAACTTGCACCTGTGCGGTGTGGTGCGGGCGTGCCGCGTGCGTACGTGCGGGCCACAACGGTGTCAAGTGTCATTGACTGCCAGTTTTGACACCTTCTGGCTGCAGACTGCCGGGGAAAGGTTAGTCGGTAAGTTCAAGAGGTATACATCCTGCACAGCAAGGTAGTGAGTGTCTTCTCGAAGGCCGGGGGTCGTGGGCTCAAGAGAGGGGTTTGCGAAAGGTTCTTGACGGTTGCCTGGGGATTTAGGTGAGGTCATCGTGTGGCGGGAACATCAGACCAACTTTCGAACTCATGTGTGTGGTTTCGGAGCGTTGAGCGTGTTGGAAGGTTTTGGAAGTCGGTGGGGGTTCCCTTACTTTAGTTATCGGTGGACTGTTTGACTTTGTCATTGTGTGAGGAGGGAGGAGCTTTGACGTCAGGAAGTCCGGGTGAGAAAGCTTGGTTCGGGAGCCGAGAGTGGACGCCGGGTTTACGGCCCCGCCTGATGCGGGCGATAAGTTGCGAGCCGACGTTGAATTGTGCTCCTAGTTTACTACAGTTAGTTGCACTTGACCAAGCTTTCAGCCTCAAATGCTTGATCCTCAGTTTTGGCGAAAAATCTCCCCTTTCCCTTGTTGCTACGACGGAACTCTGGCGCAAGCCTGGTTATTGAGTTGGCCGGTTGGACTTTTCAAGGCAATCAAAACAGTCATCACCATATCTCGAAAAAAAAACTTCATCCCAAAAAATACAATTAATATCATATTATAACAAAATTGATCTCCGGACAATGTTAGCTGGTTGCTCAGAGTGTTCTGGTGATATTGACACATGTAGCAGTAGCTCATGAGGCCTTTCTGAGCCCACTGCCGTTCAAACAGTGGTACGACCGAGAAAGATGTCACTTCAACGGAAGTGAGAATCATCAAAAGTGTGAACTCCATTACGGTCATATGCGTTCGCGATCTTCAAAGGCTGAGGTGTGGCGGTGTAGTTGCTAATGAAAATTACATTGCTTTTTGCAAATCATCACAAGGCTTTTTCCGCAGATGTGGTTCGCCAGTATGCAGCCTTCAAGGCGCCCACCTAGGCCTGTCTGCTAGTTCCAGCATAATGAGCCAGTAATGGATGTGGGCGAAATTAACCAAAAAGCTGACCTGCAGGTCTGCCTTGTTATCTGGCCAGGGGTAAGCGCGCCTAAGCCTCCATCTCGCCTGGCGCCAGGCATAACCAACGACTGGGATGATACGAAGCTGAGAAATTTGGAAGCCTCGATCCCTAGAAGTTGTTTTGCCGGGGCGTTTCCTTTCTCGTAAATTCTGGTGACCAGCATCTCAATGCGGGCATCCCATGACAGCATCACTTCTTCCAAACGTCTTCTTCTAGAGTCGCTCCCGTCTCTTTCAGGTATCATCTGTCAATTAGAGTGGCCAAAATGGCTGACCCTCTCAGTATCGCTGGCTCGGTTGCTGGATTGCTGGCCACGGCGGTCAAAGTGTACAACGCCACCTTCAATTTCGTCTCCAGCGCGATCGATGCCCCCGAGTCTGCGATACAAATGTTTCAACTTATTGAAGAGACAAAAATGACTCTGTCTTCTGTCCACGAGCTGCTTCACTCCCTCGACACCTTCCCCAGTTCCCGCAAAAACATGATCCAGCTCGATCACCTCTCCATTGTCATCACACACTCCGTTCTAACACTTTCAAAACTCGAAACCATTGTGTGCCAGCAGGATGGGTTGCGGTCTCGGATGAAATGGGCGCTGTGGCACGAAAAGAAGATTCTAGCTCTTCTTCCCCGGTTGGAGTCTCAGAAGTCAACATTGGCTGTGATGATCACACTTCTCAATTGGTGAGTAGTAGACAACCAAAGGCACTAGGTATATGAAGATTTATTTATCATGTCATAGCAAGACTCAAGAAGAAGCAAGTCGCTCTCAAATCACCATGTTGGCCAAAGTGGACGAAATTCTTCAGCAAAACCGAACACTAGCCGAACAATTGAAGCTGCTCGACAACGGAAAGTCGTGGGACACTAGATCCGTCAAGTTCATGGACAACGCGTCCTCAATAACTAGCAGACCTGTGTCTACCCAAAGTGTTATCCACAGAACCCCTTCAGCCGCCTTTCGGACCCCCGAGTCTTTAGAGGGATCGATGATCATGACGCTATCAAAAAGGAATTTCGAGCTCGACTTGGGTCAATCGAGGGTTTATAAACGGGCCCAAGACCGCGAAACAGACAGATCCTCTTTCACAACATCCAACGCCCCGACAAGCGCTTGGAGTATGCTCTCTGGTCTCACCATCGGCGACATTTCCATCGTGTCAGCGTTTAGATTGCCAATTACTCTCAAGGATATCAATAAAATTGCACCGGGGTCAACATTTTCAGGTCTTTTGATGAACCGTCAATCTATGGAAGAGCAGACTCGATCCAATCCATTTGAGTGCAGCGACTCACTGTCACGAGCTCCCATTAGGGGCGAAAGATTGGCAGGGACGTTGTCTTTCAAATTTGATAAGTCTGACGACGTCGCGTACAGAGAGCCCGAAATTCAACAAGAAGGATTGACAACTTTCACGTGAGTACCTGATCTCTCTCTGCAAATCGGTTTTATGCTGAAACTCGTAGTATCATGATAGTCGGGGACTCCAAAGCGCTTAATAGTGAGATGATCAACACTTTCATCAACCCAACACCATGGTTAAAGCTCGAAAAAGATGTACATATCCCCACGCGTACTCACTATTCTCGATACGCAGTACGGTACGTGTCTTTGGCAACACCAAAAAATCTTGTCTGTCAAAACGGGCCGTGAATTCTCTATTGACATGGATAGTGTGCGTGGTGAAATACTGGGCCTTGAACTACACGATACAACAGGACTAGCAGATGATCGCTCTCTCAGGCAACAGTCATACAAAAGTGAAGACGCGTTCTTGTTTCTTGTAGGCGTGGACAGCGCGGCGCGGGTCGAAATCCAAGACCTAGCGAACGAGGTTTCCAGAGCGCGACCAGACGCCCTTTGTTTTCTGGTGGGGACGTCTAAGAACCGTGGAGCACCGCATGGCGATGCTGAGTTGGGACGTATCGCGAAATTCTTCCTTGATCTAAGAATAAAAGTGTTGTATTGTGATGTGCAACACCCAATGAGCGTTGGACAACTGCTCGCACAGGTAGGCTCCATGCTAGGGGCATTGATTCCATAAGATAATGAGCTAATCAAGTTCCGCGCAGGCCATTATAGCTGCGAATCGTAGAGGCCTAAGGAACTTGCTCGAAGCCCCCACCTCGCCTCAACTATCCAAGGTTACGATCGAATAGAGAGGACTGACAGGAAACAAATTACCTATTCAGCAAGGGCATCCTTGAGTATTAAGCAAGGAAAAGTAATCAGATCGTCACGGAATCAGGAAGAGAGCTGTGGGCTAGGGCGTTGTCGGTCGAATGTGGATTGATCAAAGATTATACTGAAATTGGAGGATCTCATAGAATTGAGATACCAGACCTTATAGGGAGATTCGAAATTTCGAATTCGGTGGCTTGCATCGAAGGCTATCGACGATAGAAATTCTATCAAATCAATTTCCCGCTTTTGATTTGCGCTGTTTGCTTTCCTCCAAAACTCCGCTTTCACTGGAAAGGCTCTCCATCTCAACGTCGAACTGTGAGTATCTGCTGCGCGGCCCTCGAGAGACACTGGCATGCGTGCTTTCCTTCACTCTCGATCCCTCCGAGGCGATCAATTTAGGTGCCATTGCCCTGAAGAATCTGCGTAGGGTAGGCATTGAGCCACATATTATGAATAGATTCACCTCGACGAAACTGTGAGCGGGAAGTCATGAGTTAAAAGTATGGCAAATGGAGGACTTTGGAAGAAGACAGGGTTGAGGACGTACGACCAGACATTTGCAGGGGCTGCTACCCATGGGATATCATTGGATGAAAGGAGCGACTGCAAGTAAACCATGCGGACGACAGATGTTGTGACAGTTCTGGAAAGGGGATCAGTATGTTTCCCCTCAGACGGCTGGAATATGGTATACATACATGGATCCAACGCCAAACATAAGCACGGCTCCCACTTTGACAGCCGGCCGCATCTGCAAGCGAAGAACCATGGGTATTGGTATGATGAAAAGGACGACGTCAGAAACAATATTGGAAACGGCGATGGCCATGTAAAGTACTGCTGAGTTTAGACATGTTCCGGAGGTGTACGGGTCCCAGTTTGTGCGAATCGGTTGGCAGTGGAAAAGGAGAAGTGATGCGATAATGATAGTGTATGCAGAAACCATCGCAATGGCTGTCAAGATTGCGTTTCGGTACCACCTCTGGGGTGAAATATTGAGGTAGGCGGTCAAAAGTGAGGTTTTCGTCAAGCCGTTGCAGGTGATAAACACAGGGGCAACAATATAAGAGCTCTGTGGGGATACGTCAGAATTGAAGGCAAATTGACATCGACAGCATCCATTTCGACATCGACCGGAACACTCACCAGCATATGCTTCTCGTATATCTGTATGGACATCTCGAAGGCGTGGTGACCCAAACCCCCTATCGATATAGACCCTGAAGTACGATGTCAGTGTCTTGATCGAGCCCCGAGAACCTGAAGGTATAGCATCTTACATATCTGCACCGACTGCATGACAATAGAACAAACCTTGAGAGAATCAGTTTCCTTCGGGTTCAGATAGCAGTATGTCAGATATTTACCCATGCGAAGAATATCAGAACTGTGGGGAATGAATGTCAATAACAGCATGGTTGTGTGGTGCCAAGTCACTCACAATCGTCGATCTTTGGGCCATCGGATAGACAGAACTTTGTGTAGAATCTCTGGACCAGAGTCAAAAATGCCAAGGGCCCCAAGATACCGAATACCAGGTAGTGTTCGAGCACTTTCTGTTGCTGCGGATGCTCAAAGTCTACCAAGTAGCCCTCGGGGGCCTTGATGACAGTTGTGGTGCCATTAGTGATCGGAAACTCGGCCATGAGAATGACCAAGTGTTGACGGTCTTCAAAAGGCCAAGGGAAGAGAAGATGGAAAATCAGAAAAGACAGACTGGCGACAAATTCATCCCTGCATACTACGCGAACAAACAGCTGCGACCCTCAATATTTAAACATGTGCACATTCCATCCTCTGATCTGCTTGAGCTCTTTTTTCATTGTGCTAACCTTATCACGGAAAATGACGAGGATTTGCTCTTTGAATTATATTAAACATGACTGATGCGACTGGAAAAGACTCTGAGGCGGGCTGAGCTATCACATTCCCGTTTTCTGTCAACCAACACGAGGACCGGCCCTGGCCTGGAGAACTGCATGGGCCCTGGCTTTCGGATGGACCTTGGCCTGCACTCTCACACAACAGATGGCCAAGAAATGCAGGACAGGGCTGCCTACATGCAGCAAATTTCACCAATGTGAGTTGAACATCCGGACCGGTCTGATACCTGGTTACTCAAACCCTTGCGTTCTCAACCGGAATGGATCGAATGACCGTCCTGTGAGAGCATGAGTAGCACAGTTGGTAGATTCTGGGCCGCGAGTCTAGACGCTCTATCGATCAACCGCGAGAACGGAACCATGAGATACTCATCATGCAAACGACGCAAACAATAGCAACCCTTGAAACCCAATCTTAATGGAGCATGGTGTTGTGAACAATATTGGATTCTGACAACCTGAACTGGAGCCCCGGCCAGGAACCCACCCAAGATTGAAAGACATAAAGGCTCAGATCCATTCCATTCTTTCTTTCTGAAACCCCAGGAGACACAAATCAAGTCCAGGTACCCGGGCACCTCTTCATCCTTTCTCACTCTCATCTTCAACCTAATATCAGCCAAGATGGTCCGCCTCTCCGTCCCGCTCACCATCGCAGCCACGCTGATCGCCAGCGGCATGGCCGCATGCTCAAACACTGGGCAGGCTCAGATGGTCACCTACGTCAAGCGAGCGACCAACCTGACCCAGGAGCAATTCTGGGACTACTGGCAGACCCAGCACGCCCCCAAGGTCGCCCCCTTGGCTGTGCACTTCAACATCACGCGTTACCAGCAGGTTTGTAAATTGTAGCCTTGGCTTTTGCATTGCTGCGAGCCGGCAATGAGCATAAACTGATTCTGTCATAGATCCAAGTCGGGGGCCAGATTCTTCCCACCGAGGCAGGTTCAACCGTGCCGGCATCCACCGTCCCCGTTGACTTTGACGGCATTGCCATGTTCCTGTACAAGTCTCCCGCGATCCTCACGGCAATGCTTTCTCACCCTTACTACCTTGCTGTTGTTGAGCCTGACGAACATGTCTTCATCGACAAGGGTGCTTTTGGTAACGGCATGGTCGCAACATTTGTTGGTACCGACATCGAGATCGTTGATGGGAAGCAGGATGTGTGGGTAGGAAGTCAGGCTACGCGGGAAAAGTTTCAGAAAATCTTTGAGTCGTACCTGTAGGCCCTGGGTGGAAATCCACCAGTTATCTCAACTTAAATTCTGCAAGAGAGAGGAACCTGCCGTATAGAGTAATTTTACCGGAGACCCAAGTACATGTAATAATTCAGTAGATGTGTTGGTTCTTCAATTTTGGTACATCACTTGGCCGCGTGTCATCCGCAAGTCTACTTGCCATTCATGTGAATCTTGCTCGTTGGCAATGTGCTGCCAATTCCTCTCTCTTTTCTTTGATGAGAAATGACTTGTAGGATCTTGGCGATAGTGGCAACAAGGCTCCCGGCAGCTTTGCGGAATATGTTCTGAACTGGGAGAATGTGCTGTTGGTTGTTGTTAAATCAAAGCATCAAATATGACGGGTCATATGCGGTCGAAGTTATATCCCACTTTACCGTCGTACCCCCGGGCGGAAGTGGATCCGCGGCGACGGAGGCCATATCCGTCTCTCCGGTTGGGCTCTTCAGCAAGGGTCGTGGGGATCAAGGCCAATTCCATCACTGCGTATAAGAGTAAATGGAGTCTGCAAGGGGACCTCTCGGAAAGTCTTTCCGCATGGGATAGTGAAGGGTGTGGAGTGTCTTTCGATTCTGCATGCGGACAAGGACCACGTAAACCCCTGGCAGACCGTTTTCTGTTGGAACCAGGGTCATTTCTATTTCACCAGCCTTTTGTACCGGGGACCATCAATGTCTGCTCATAGATACGGATACATTCCGTATGGTTACTGAGTAGAGAAAAAAGAAAGAAAGAAAACAAATGAGGGCAGTCGTAGTACATCAGCTTTCGGATATGACAAACAAGAGCGTCAGCCAAGTTAGATATACGTAGCCATCTAGCAAAAGAACAATCCCAAGAACACAGATACGAGCAAAGAGGAGGCTCGTCAGTATACTTGAGCAGCAGGTGACCAGGGTCCATGTCCATCTAGTACCTATCTGTCGTCAAATTTGTGCTTGAACCAGGAGGCAGTACTTGCAACAAGGTACTCGCATGTGAGGAGTGCTCTGATGGCTCAAATCACGGTGAAGTAGAAAAACAGAGGACTCATACGTTTGAATCAACCTTGTAGATTGGATTTCAACTGTCACAAAGATAATCACACTAGTTTCGTTACTTAGCCGAGAGATAGACCCAGTGACTGTCCCCTCTCCTATTATGCTGCTGGGTCGGAAGCTCGCGATGCATTGTGGCAGGGTACCGGCTCCTAAAGGATCTTCGGTGCTCATCTGGTTTCTCCACAGACCATGAACAGAATAATCAGTTCTCTAAGAAGCCTGCCACCCTGTGTACTGGAAGCGAGAATAATGTCACGATGTGATCTGCTATAGCCTATAAGTGAAAGACGCAGCTGTATGGGCAAATTTAGGTTGCTGCAACATGACGCTTTCGGGTCTACTGTTCTAAAAGAAGGAAGATGTGGTAGCTTCGAACTCAGTAGGTACATGAACAGCGCAGTCTAAGTATCATCAGAAATGCATACATGCTCGCGATCTAGCCCTCTTCATTAATATTTCCGAAGTCCTGCCTCCATCTCCGGAGCCGGTGCTGAAATTGCATGCTCAGGTACGCCAGAACACTACTCAGAGAGGAGACTGAATGACCGGGTACTTGGGAAATGCAGGTGCGTAGACCTGAAATGTGATCAGTAAGATGTCTTATACAGGAAGTAATATATTGCAGGATACGTACCGACTTGCAGCGAGCATTGAAATCGCCGGTCAACCCCTGAATGGCAGACAACTCGTCCCCAGGGACTCCGAGCTTGACCAAAGGCCCGGACTGAGGTGACCCCTTGGCCCATCCAGGCCCGGCAGCCGGGTTCTTGATCCAGTCCACGAACCAACCATGGATGGAATCAGCCAACGCCTGCTGTGCCTCAGTTACGCCCGTAAGTGAATCGAAGCACTCGTTGCCTCCATGGAAGAAGGGCACCTCGGTTCCGTGTGTGGGTGCCGTGCCCGGAACCCCAACCACGTTGTCGTAAGCTCCGAAGAATCTATAGACCCAGGTGTCTTGCTTGGCACTGCGCAGGTCAAGCAGATAGTCGACGGCGCAGTTGAAACGGGCGTCACCATATTGGGCACCACTTCTGAGAGACTCTGTCTCGTAATCGGAAGCATTATACGCCGCTAGCAGAACGTCGTCTTCAATGTGTGCACTATCTGCATCGAAAGTGTTGATCCAAGAGCTGAAGTTGCTGTTTTCGGCGCCATACACCAGGCTGAAGATGGTGCCCTCACCATCAGAAGTTCCCGTAAGGAGGGGCACGTGTGATGCATACTGGCCGGCCGCAAACCTTGCAGCATAATCAGAGTGCCTTGTGACGTTATCAATGACGGGAGTGAACCACGTGTTGAAGGTCGAGTTGAAGTCAGCTGTCTGGAAAGCGTACGTGTCGACACTTCGCAGGCACTTGACTTGGTTATCCCCTGCCTTCGGACAGCCAGCCTCAGCCGCTACGGCGTCGAGTCCTTGGTTGACTGGCGCGTATCCTGGTCCAGACATGGCATTCGCACTCATCTGCACTGCTCCCTTGAGCCACGAATCTGGGTGGTTCCAGAGGTAGTGATCGACCTGAACTGCTCCGGACGAGTGACCGCCGAACACAATGTGATCGGGATTGCCTCCGAACGCATGGATGTTGTCACGGACCCAGTCAAGTGCCTTTTCGACGTCCAAAATACTGAAGTTTTGTGATTCCTCGGGAAACGTCTCGCTGAGCTCCGACGAGTGCGGCGAGGCAAAGATACTCTCGCGGGTATTGAAGTTGACGTATATCACACCGTTGCGGGCAAAGTTGGACCCTTGAAGTTGAGGATTGCTGCTGGAACCAGTGACCATTGCGCCTCCATACATGTACACGAACACAGGCAAGTTCTCGCCCGTCGAGGGTGCCCAGATGTTGAGGTTGAGGCAGTCCTCATCTTGGTGGCTGTAGAGAGTGCCGGAAATCGCTTGAGGGCAAGTAGGACCATGTGAGGTTGCGATCAAGGTAGCGTTGGACTTTGACACATCTTGCGGCGCCCTCCATCGGTTTTCGCCAGCTGTTGTGGCAGCGAATGGGATGCCTAGGAATACCGAGTTGCAACTTGCATCATGGAATCCCTTGACCAGACCTTGGGATATACGGGCGTGAGGCGCAGATTGAGTTGCGTTGCTGCAAGTGCTTGCAAGGACCGAGGGCATCAAGCCAGAGAACAACATGGCAAGGGCCGCAGCTGATGGCGACATGTCGTTGAAGTGCATATTGTGTCAATCGGCCAATACCTTCAAGATGTAGAGAACGTGAAATGCATATGGACACGATGGGATTCCCGGAAGAAAAGGAGATGGCTATCCAGCACCGTTTTCTTCAAGGTGGATATTAATTACAAAATACGACCTCGAGGCCTTGTCAACCCCACTGAAGACCGTTCTGGATTAGCCCATTACAACGGATTTTCGGTGATGTTGCAGCGATCTTCTAGGGAGTTTAGCCCTAGGCACATTTATGCTTCTTTTCAAAGTTTGGATGGACTTCTCTTCCCCAGATTCTGATTTTCCCTCGTCCTAGAATGATATTTTCCAATAGGGCTGATGGTAATGAATTGCACACTTCCAGGCATCCTCACATTCAACTGGGTTGAGGGAGCAGGGGGGAGGACGAGGTTACGTAAATCGCCATAAGCACCGTCAGCAAACCCCCTGGCATCACGGCTAACTTGCCAAATAGGGGAGAGGTGAGCGGGCAAAAACATGACTGGCTTTTCGAAAATATCGTCAGCTCATGGCCTCAATAGTCCGGTTCTTCTCGTCTTTCTCGAGCAGCCAAGATTCTCTACTTTGTCGCAACGATTTTACGGCGAGTAACTGGCGTTTCTCTCCTTGTTGACAGGCAGTGACTACAACTCGTCTTTCTCGTTTCTGGGCGGATCAAAAGTCTTCTTCTTCGTCATGCCAGCCAGGATGTCGACAATCAAGTCAGCGGCAGCGACGGAAGTTGTCTCGGCCACAGAGTCATAAGGCGGGCTGACTTCGACGACATCAGCACCAACCAGGTTGAGTCCTTCAAGACCCTTGAGGAATCGCTTCAACTCTCTCGTTGTCCAGCCGCCTGACTCTGGCGTTCCAGTAGCTGGAGCAATGCTCGGATCGAGGACTGTAGCGTTGTTAGTTAAACATTCGTCATGATGGGGCGGTCCCAACTTGCCATCAATGTCGATGGAAAGATACACTGGCGTATTGCCAACTGCGTCTCTGACTTTCTTGACGATGCCACTCATGCCAATATCGTCAATCTCATGAGCTTCAATTATGGTGAATCCGACAACATCTCTGTCAATTTCATAATCTTTCGGGCTCTGCACTATGTCAGATAAGTTGATCACTGTAAAACTAATGAGTCGCTACTCACGAAGAGCTTGGTCCTCAGACCGCCATGAACGCTGGTGCCCTTGCTGATGCACCCTTCCCGGCTCGCATGCCAGAAGAAGGTTCCATGGGTGATGGCAGACTGGTTCGAAACGATTCCCGTATAGCCTTCATAAGGATCCCATCTGCGCATGAGTGTTGTTAGTGGCTGATGACTTAAGCCAGTAGTGCTGAATGTGAGGAGTCTTACGTGTCAAGGTGCGAATCGAGATGAATGACGGAGATGGGACCATAAACTGTCTTCAGACTGCGAAGAATTGGCAAGACTATAGAGTGATCTCCTCCAAGGCTGATGATGCGGGGATGTTCCCATTCATCTAGAATGTAGGTTAGCGGTTGTGACTACTTTGCATGTCTGTTGTTGCCAACATCAGTGGACTTACTCTGATCGGTGGTCGGATGATAGAGAATCTGTCGATACGCCTGTTCCATCTGCTTAAACGCATGGCTGGCATCAAATGGCGTGATGGGCACGTCTCCACAGTCGATCTTTCACCGCGGCATTGTGTTAGTGCTACGTGATCCATGAAGATGTTCAGTCAGATAAGCCCTCACAATTTCCAGCCCCTGTTCGTAGGGATCAACCTCCCACACGGTGTTATAACTACGCCCTTTCTTCTCCCTGGACGATCCAGCCCGAATACCTCTCGGGCCGAAGCGAGCGCCTGGACGGTAGGAAGTAGAGGTGTCATAAGGAAAGCCCAGAACGGCAATGTCTAGAGGCTGGACTCGGGGTCAGATGAAACCTCACATGGCAATTGAGCTGCACATAATATACCTTATTATGCGACTCCGCTAAACAACGTTGCCATTCCAAGTGCGCAAATGTCACAGGCTGGGAAAAGGGCAGATCTTTGTCCAGATCTGGGGAGAAGCTTAGCTGAGAACCTTGCAAACAGCCGCCGAGACAGCTGAACATACCTTCAAGGGGATATTGATAGTTCGGGCCAACATTTAGGGCAGCTGCAAGGTCAGCACCCGCGCAGAGTAGGATTGCATCTGCAAGACGCATAGTGAACGTGAGTATTGGTTTTCTTGGCTTGAATGTTTCGCAATAGATCTGGCTTTGGTAGGTGACATTTTTGTATGATGCTCATCGTATGATTTGCTTAAATAATATCCGACAAGGCGCGCATGTTCAGATGACGACTGTAGTGAGGAGAACCAACGCCGATTCGAGGCCGATAGGTTGAAGCCTTGATGCACCTATGAGACGATTAGAGTTAATCAAGGGCAAGAGACTCCGACGGCTCCAACGGTCGGGAATAGGGCCCCCACATCGGTTAAGCCGACTCCTGGAAGTCGACTCCGATATCTTTGGGGATGTTTCACGCGCTATCATGGGCTAAGGCGCGCCTTTAGATAAGAGGTTGGCTTATCTCTTTGAGCTAGACGAATGAGTCGCGAATATCCTCAAAGTATGGTGAATCCAATATCTACAAGGTTCTTTGAGTATAAATATAAATGTAGCCGGGAGGTAACATGTCAAGTTGTTTGATGGTAGTCAGAGACTCAAGGTGAAGCTTTTCGGGAAAGCTTGTTCAATGAACCCCATCAACATCCCTGTCTCCGAACTTCTGCATCATTAACTCTCGAGCCGTCGCACTCTCCTTGTTGCGAACATCTGCAAGCAAATATGATGGGAACAAAGATAGAAGGCGACAGCGACAACAAGGTCGGAGGCCATGTTGCAGCATCATCTCATCCGGAATCCATTGAAGCTACGGAAACTGCGGAACTCTCGACCAAGCGCGGCCTCTCTGCCCGACATGCACAATTCATCGCTCTTGGTGGAACTATCGGCACCGGCCTCTTTGTCGGTTCCGGCAGTACCCTCGCCCGTGGCGGACCGGCCTTCCTCGTTGGCAGTTATGTCGTTATGTCAGCCCTGATCTACATGGTCTTGACTGCAGTCATTGAGATCTCGACGTACCTTCCGCTGCCAGGCGGCACCATGAACTACTACGGCAGCCGATATGTCTCGCGAAGTCTCGGTTTCATGATGGGATGGCTCTACTTCTACTCTTTTGCAATCTTCGTCCCCTTCGAGCTCACGGCATCAGCCTTGGTCATTGAGTACTGGAATCCGAATGCCAACAACGCCGTCTGGATCACAATCATGTTGGTAATGGTTGTCGGCCTCAACCTTCTACCTGTGAAGTTCTACGGCGAAACGGAGTTTTGGTTCGCTGGACTGAAAGTCCTGACCATTGTTGGTCTGTTGATCCTCTCAATCGTTCTGTTCTTCGGCGGCGGTCCATCCCACGAGCGACTTTATTTCCGGTACTGGAAGGACCCCGGCGCTACCAAAGAGCTGATCGTTCAAGGAGACGCCGGCAGATTCGTGGCCGCATTATCAACTCTCCTCAGCAGCGTGCTTCCATTCACTTTTTCGCCCGAAATGGTTGTGGTCACTGCCGGAGAAGTTCAGTCTCCTCGCAGAAACCTGCCAAAAATCGCCCGCAACTTCTTCTGGCGATTGATTGTCTTTTACATTGGCGGTACCATTGCCATCTCGGTCATCTGCCCGTCCAACGCACCGGCCCTTACTAGCGGAAGCTCTGGAGCCGCGGCTTCTCCCTGGGTTGTGGGAATCAAGAACGCGGGAATCAAGGGACTCGATAGCGTAATCAACGCCGTCGTGGTTACGGCCGCCTGGTCCGCCGGCAATTCGTTCCTCTATCTGGCAAGCCGATCTCTGTACTCAATGGCCTGTGAAGGCAGCGCCCCGCGGATCTTCAAGCGATGCACCAAGCAAGGAGTTCCCATCTACGCCGTCATAGCCAGCTCGTTATTCTCGCTTCTGGCTTACATGAACGTCAACTCCAACGCAGCAGACGTTTTCAACTGGCTGCTGAATCTCGTCAACACTGGAGGTTTCATCTCCTGGGTCTGTTGCGGAATCATCTACATCCGCTTCCGAAAGGCCTGCGACGTTCAGAATTTACCGAAATCAGCTCTTGTCGCACGATCCTTTTTGCAGCCTGTTGGGTCATACATCTCGCTGATTATGTTCGGACTTCTGTGTCTTCTCAACGGTTTCACTGTCTTCTTCCCATCTCGCTGGTCCGTGGCAGACTTTCTCTCTGCGTACATCGGACTGCCTTTGTTTATCGTTATCTACTTTGTCCATCGATTTCTACATCGCGCTGATTCCTGGGCCATCTCCTCTCATGAGGTGGACCTCAAGACTGGACTCGCAGAGTTGGAGGCAGAAGAGTCATTGGAGGAGCCCAAGGAAGGGTTGCGAGCGCGGTTCAAGCGCCATGTAGGTCGATCTTAGGATGATGACAGATGCAGGAGTGATAGGGCGTCGCAGTCTCCTGCCCGACTCCGATAGGCGGCTAAGTCTAAGAGGCTTGACAGTCATAATGATTTAGGTGCTTGATAAGACACTGTGTAATTTGAGATTGAGAATGAATAATATTAGACAAGTTTCTCGGCTTCAGTACATTGAATAGCCACCATCTTCCCATTCCAGTCCCTTTTACCTACCTTAGCCTCGCTACTGAACTGAACTGCCACGATGCAACAAGCCAAAGTCCTCATAGTGGGCTGCGGTTCTGTAGGAACCATGTGTGCGTTTGCTCTTCAGAAGTCCGGAGACGCCGAGGTCACTGCTATTCTCCGGTCCAATTATGATCTAGTCCAGACCCAAGGCTATCACATCCAGAGCATTGACCACGGGGAAATTGCTGGCTGGAAACCCCATCACAGTGAGTCGCTTAATATCAGTTCGATTCCGTCCCAGACGTAATGATACTGACGCGCCACAGTGGAAAGACATCTAGAAGACGCACTACAGCATGGCCCTTTCGACTTTGTCTTGGTGGCTACGAAAAACTTGCCTGATGTGTACTCGATCCCAGATATCATTGGTCCCGCGATTGCACCCCAGACATCAATCGTGCTCGTTCAGAACGGCATTGATATTGAGCCACCATTACTCGAAGCCTTTCCGAACAACATCTTACTCTCAGGCGTCCCGCTGATAGGATGCGAACTCCACGGACGCGAGATGTTGCATAATGACCCAGATATTCTTCAGCTTGCGTACTGGCCAAATCCAAAGTTTACACCTGAGAACCAGAGCACCGCGTGCGCCGCTTTTGCTCGGATTTACAACAATGGTGGTGCCAAATGCAACATCCAGACGGATATCTCTTGGTTCCGATGGCGAAAGCTCATCTGGAACGCTTCTTTTAACACCGTCTGTGCCATAACGAATTTGGACTCGGGCGCCATTCAGGATGCTGGTGGTCTGGACACCCTGATCCGCCCAGCCATGAGAGATGTTGTGGCAGTTGCCCAAGCAGCGGGGCATATCTTCTCCGATGAGATCTTGGATGACATGGTTGCATTCACGCCCAAACAAGCCCGTCTGAAGCCGAGTATGCAGGTTGACGCGGTGAGGCAGAAGCCAATGGAGATCGAGGTGATCTTGGGAAATCCTATCAAAACCGCGAAGAAACTTGGCGTGCTGGTTCCAACTTTGGAATTTCTCTACAGCCTTTTGCAAACCAAGCAGTGGAGTTTCTTGAATTTGGAGGAGTGAATCTTGTTTCCCATATTTCTTATGTGCTTATCGCAACCTATGTACAAGAAAAATATGATTTTTCCATTCTTCGTTCCCTGTGTCGTTAAGAAGTACATGTAAGCCTCCTAGCGACGGATGTGCACTCTCATGTTCCCGTTGCCCCAAGCGTTGTTCTGACCGAAAACGAGACTGCCACGGGTGCAAGCGTCCATGATCTGGCCTGCCGACCGGGCAACATTGCCGCAGGGACTGGATGTGTCCCTGGGAGGGTTGCCACCGGTAGCAACACCGGCGATCTGAGCCTGGCCACGGTGGCAGAAGACAGTGGCGCTGACGACGGCCTTGCACTCCACATTGGCGCGGGCAGCGATGAAGTCGATACACCAGACGGCATCAGCAACCTATCATAGGCAATCAATGTCAGTGAATGCCTTTCATGAAAATACCATGATTCATCGTCGTGTGGTGGTTACAAGACCCTTTCGTGGTAGGCTGGCGGAGGAATAGCTCAGAGTGACTTACAGAGGCAGCGTTATCGTTGTCGTTGAATGTGCAGCTGACATCCTGCTGGCGCTTCTCAAGACCATCTAGACAGTGACAAGTCAGCCATTGGTGGTTCTAGTTGCAAGGCAACATTAAGACAACAATGTATCACGAACCGCTTGAAGTCTGGTTGAATGCGAGAGCCATGGCCTCCTCGGGCGAAGGATGTTGCCCGTTGGGGTTGGCAATGATATCCTCAGCCCACTTCTCGAAAGAGAAGGGAACGTTCTGCTCGGTGGCCTCGGCAGCAGTAGGGGCGGCGGCAATGAGAGGGATAAGGGCCAGAAGGCCGGCGGCGCGGATGAAGTTAACCATTTTGTCAGTGAAGAGATATTATGTTAGGTTGTTTGAAGAATGATGAGTTGTGGCAATGATCTGAAGAGAAACGACGCAGCTAGGTGTCCGCGATAGAGCTATTTATACCCACCGAGATAAAATTCTCGAGGTGCCTTGAGAACTCACTGAGGAGGGCGTTAGACGAGAGGATGTCACGCTTGCCACTTCTGGAAGTTTTATGGACATCTAGACCTGCACCGCTGTCGAAGGAAGGATCTAAAGTTTCCGAGGAAGGCTGGCTCAGCTGCAAGGAGTTGGATCCTCACGATGGGGCTGACATTGCCGCAAATCGTTAACTGGGAATCCAGTCTAATACATGCACGGCTTAGTCTCTTGACCGGACAACTTCAATACACCTCACACTCACCATCAATGAGTCCGTGTTAGCACGTTGGGGAGCTCATATCTAAACCACAGAACCCGGTAAAGTCTTGGACGTGGATATTGGCAATCTCTTACTTCTGTCCAATACTCAAGTGATTACGTGGCATTTCTTTCGTTCCCCGATATCTGCTAAAGCTTGATTTATCGCATTTCATTCTCTGCCTGACATGAAGTCTTCGTTTCCTGCGAAAATAAAACTTGGTGTCTGGTCGCCAAGCCTCGGCTCCCATCTGTGACCTGGCAGCCCCAGTCTCACAGTAAGATCAACAAACCCATCGGCAGCAACGGGTCAGAGTGGCTACCCTTGGCAACTTGCCATTATCTTGAGCTTAGGGCTAGACTATAAGCAATACGAGGAACACACCCATGGTTACCAGAGCCGGAAAGAGCCCAATTGGACATCTCGCAATTGAACGCGAGGATCTTACTTAGGCACCCGCAATCCGAGATCTCGGCAGGTTTCCCATAGGCTCGCTCGGGTGGCATAGATTAAGTTGAATGGGTCTCGGCACGACCCAGTGGCGGTGTATCAGCACTTGTTGAAATAAGCAGGTCCAAGGCGGGGAATTGGCTTTTAGAGGCATAGGGCGGAAGGACCCGCTGAAACGGTCCGAAGCGTGATACTTTTCAAGTTGTTCCCCTCAGTTCTGACTGCGAGGAACCCTCTCAAGAACCTTCCAGTGCTCAACTTCACATCGTCGCGAGAACAGTGATTTATGACAATCAAGTCATGGGGCCGCAATTTTACCCTGGTATCGTTTGCTACCGTCCTTGAAAGAAAAGAAATTATTTGGATTCATCAACCCCAAGAACAATATATCGGAGACAACCACCCAGCATACCTAATGGGGGCCAGGTAAGCTCTTCACAGAGTCCAAAAGTACATAAAACAAGCGGAGTATACTTCCTATGTTATTTTTTCCCCAGAAGAACGTAAGAGTTGGATAGAAGTGGTTTGATGCTGGACTTTAAGAGATAACCGGTGACAATCCAAAACCCTGGTACATTTTAACTTTTTCTACTCTAGAAGGCCACCCAACAGCCCAACAGCATTTTCGCGGGTCTTCAAGGATTTCTTAAGCCAGCAATTCCCATTATACCCCCCTGTGGTGTCCAGATTTCGATTGAAAACTGCTGCAAGGCACACTCTGGACCCCCTATATCGATTGTATGACGCACAAGCCCTCAAACAATCTAAATACGAGTGGGCCACAATGGCTACTATGTCGTTCGTTTCCCCTGGTCCGTAATTCGTCCCGCAATGAACCGTAAACTTTGCCTCTTCGTCGCATAGTTTTATTGTTTCTGATCTGCCGTCTATGTTGGAGCAGTGAGGGTCGAGTATCTCTATGTGTTGTGTTGGCACCTCTGATGAGTTTCCGGTGGTTGAGGACACGACAGACCTGGTCGTTGATCATTAGTCTATTGGACGTCTCATCACTTGTCAACTTTATAAAAAGGAAGTCATACTCTCTCGCTTTTTTAACAGCCAACGTGCCACCCACACCACCGCCAATAGCTGCTGTCACCAAAACCACGACCAGCAAAACACTAAGAACGAACGTCGCTGGCCTCAATCCGAGGATTGCACGCTTTTTTGTCGAAGAGTCTGGGATTTTCGATTCCAGAACATGCTGAACCGGATGATCACATACAAGAGCCACTTGCTTATGGGTTTTGTCAGGAGAACAGGCCTCGGGGTTATCCGGAATGTAAGCCTCAGGGCCGGTAGAGTCCATCATGTGCTCTTGTACCCCCACATGAAGCAGCGCATGAAGTCTCAGACTCTCAGTCATAAAAGAAGATAGGAGCAGATATTAGTGTCAATGGAAAGTGAACCGATAGAAGAAATAGGACGGATGGAATAGAGGGAATCAACGACCAAGTATTGAGCTAATAATGAACTCAATGGTGTCAATATCGGCTGGTTATTCACACAGTACTGTGTAGTCTTTGTGTCCTGGGAAATCAAGAGCTAACAATTTCTCGACTAATTCGTGGGGTTTGAAACATTGCTGACCTTCAGAGAGGCCTGATGATCGCTCGTACAACCTGGACTGCCCTTATGTGTAACTAAGTGTACGACATACCGTCAAAGAGACTGAAGTCTAACACACTTACTGTAGCGCATTGCTTACTTGGGGAAGTACAAGCACCTGAAGCTCGGAGAGAGTCTTGTACATGTCTGACTGTGCTAAGAGAATCAGGCCGGCTAGGCTTGAATGCTAGGGCTGTACTACACAGTGTATCGTTCTTTGTACGCGTTAGTCGTCAATCAGTTGGACAGCGTGTCAGGCCATTTTGCGTCAAAATCGTTTATCGAATCAAACAAAACTGAGCATTTGAATTACAATGTGCGAATTCTAGCAAACCAACGATCTCGCATAACTTTCAGAGTCAAGGTCGCAACGTGAAAGCGGAGATAAGAGAAATTCCGGATGTGATGCACAACGATACTTTATACCTCAAACATTTGTTGAATATAGAGAAGTGAACACCACCCGCCAGACAAAGAACGTTCAGTAGTCGGATGTGGTGCGACAAACCTCAGTGATTCTAAGATGTACTCAATCCTAGAACATCAAGTTAAACGATACTTGTGTGTTGGTTCGCGTCAGCTGTTGTCGACATCAAACTATCAATCATGTAGCAAAGGGATGTGAACCTAAGGTATGTGCGTGTCTTAAACCCACAAGGGAAGTCAATGATAATTCGGGGGCAGACCTTAGTTAACAACATAGAAATCTCCTAGATGGGTAATAAAGCCAGTTCATACCCATAGTCCGGCAAAAACATCATCCACATGAATTCCGGTGTAGTTGAGCGAGAGTTACGCTCACCTCTCTAGATGGCCGCTGAGCGAGTGTCCAGACGAGTCGCTTGCTGGCGGCTGGTACATCATACCTATAGGGATGTTTCATTGGTGGTCCCCATGATTGCTGTCACGCTTCTAGAGACGAAGGAGGCCGAGTAAGTCCATGTTTTGTTTGTAGTCGGAAGTGGGTTGGCCTGCACGACTTGGTGAGGTGGACTGGAAGGGGCCGAGGTCCGCACGCTATGTTAGAGAAAACTGCGTCAGCAGATTGATACCTTATTTAAAGGCAGCGACCATCGCAAGGCACGTCAAAACCTCAAAGTCTGGGTGACTCCATCGCACTCTCTTTTGCGCTATACAGCAGGACAGACCTTCATTTCTACGAGCGACAAGGAGGATCAGAACTGTTTGTAAGTAAAGGCTATCGACTATGTTGTATGAAGGTCAACAGATGCCTGTTGCTTATAAACTGTAGAAGTCCTTGGTTCTATCCGAGTAAGGACTAATGGTCTACTCAGGTGTAGCGATCATAATATTTACAAGAGGAGGGGACTAAATGCTCAATCTAGGATGCCACCCACAGCAGAATTATCAGATATCGACCGGGGACTAGTCGCATTCTTGAGCCAACAATTCCCATTGTTTGGGCCAACATTACCCAGATTCGCATTGAAGGTCGCCGCGACGCATGTTCTCGACCCTGAGTTGCGATTATATGATGCACAAGCCCGGAGGCAGTCCAAGTACGAATAGACTACAACGGCAACAATGTCTAGAGCTCCTTTTGATCCAAAACTCATGCCACAATGCATAACGAATTTGGCATCAACATCAGAAAGTGCAATTGTTCTCGTTTCGCCCTCCATGGCGGGACAGGGGAGCTGAATTTTCCCTTGTGTTGGAACTACTATCGGGCTATCGCTGTCCGTCGATGCAGGGACCAGCGCGGTGACTGTGGTCGTGACAACTGTAGTTGGCGATGCTACGGACGACATTGCATCGCTGAGAACCAATCATCAGAAATTTGTGGCGGAAGGGAATTGACATTGGATCATACTCTCTCGCTTTTTGGACCGCCAGTGAACCCCCAACGCCACCACCAACAGCGGCTATCACTATTACTGTAGCCAATAAAACACTAAGAACAAATGTCGCTGGCCTCAGTCCGCAAATAGTACGTTCTTTCTTGACGGGAATCGAGGAATAAGTTTCAGGCGTGGTCGGCGCATAGTACGATGATTCATGTTGCCGCGGTTGTTCGGGAACTACTTGTTTGTGGGAAATATGAGGAACGTACGTCTCGGGGCCGGAAGAGTCCATCATGTACTGGAACTTCTGTGTTCAGGATGAAGGAAAGGCATGGACTTTGTTCTCGAGAACGTCATCCAGGAAGAAGAGAAGAAGAGCAAGAAGAAACAGAAAAAGGGCACGTTAAGCAAACTGACGCCGCTCAAACAGCAAGGGATGGCTTATGTAGTATCTCACTCACTTACAAGGAGACACAGGATCTCGAAGGATCTTGCGGTCATTGGTACTCTCTCGACATTTGTGGAAGTCGGAGACCAGGGATCCAACCAGAGCTGCGCACATGTCTCACTGGGCTGTGAGGATCAAGCAGGCTGAACTAGGCGCAGAGACTGTGCTACACACCATCATGGCATCTCGCGCATCTATTCGTCCGTTTTGCAGCATGTGAGACGGCTTGCATCAAAGTCATCGATCCGAACCAATCGTTCTGATTTGGGGGCCAAAAGTCCAACCTGAAGCTGACGCCCAGAGTTCGTTGAAATTAAACATAGTCAACCTCAGGGCTTGGCAGGCAGGGTTTATCTGATGATTCATAGGCCCCTTTCACCTGGCCAGAATTTGTCTATTTACGATCTGCCTTGTGTAGAAAATCGATGTTGACTGATAGCACTTGGTGACATTTGACTGCACAGATGCCCTACCTGCCCCGCTATATTGTGCCTATATTCATAAATCGTCAAACTGTGCGCTTTCAAACATGGCAGCTTCGGGCTCACTATGTTGAAGGAACTCCCCGTCTTTTTTTTTATGATAGATTCACTCCGATTCTCGAAGCTAGAGAGGCTACCGAGAAACTATCTGTAGCTTGCACGTGTTTCTAACAGTAAGTAGACGTTGAAAGTCGCTGGTGTGCCTCCGAAAGTCATGCAATGCAACAAAATTAGATCTTCCCCTAAAGTCCTCTTCAAAGCCAAGTTTACGAGAGAAAGTCTCCGCCTGACATGGCCAGTTCATATTCGTAATCCGGCTGGAACTCCAACCACATGGCCTCAGGTGTAGTCAACCGGTATGTATACTCAGCTTCGGCATCAGGACAAAGGTGCTTCTCGATCCCCGATGCTACAGCAGCCTCTGCAAGAAGCTGTATGCGACAGGAGTTTTCCATCAGGGTATACAGGAACGCCGCCTCATCGACGGTCTTCCCTGTCGTCAAGAGACCATGGTTCTTCAAGATGGCACACCTTTTGTTGCCTAGAGCTGTAGCTATCCTCTCTCCTTCCGAGGCTTCGAATGCAATGCCGCCAAACATGTCGTGAACGGCATGATCTTTGAAGAATGTGCACGCGTCTTGGTTGAGCATTTCCAGAGGTCTCCCGAAGGCTGACCATGCCTTGCCGTGGATGCTGTGGAAGTGGCATGCTGCATTGACGTCGGGTCGGGCTTCGTGAAGGGCGGAGTGGATGTTGAAACCTGCGTTGTTGATACATGCCTACAAGAACCGACGACGTTAGTTGGCTGATCCGCGAATTCCGGGTCGACAAAGGTACGATAATCTGGACTCACATAATTTCCACCAATAATTTCTCCCTTCATATTGACATGGACCATGTCACTCGCTTTCATCAGACCAAAATGGCGAGCAAGACTAGAAACATCAAAACATGGTAAGAAAGCTGTGTTGTAGGTCGCTGAGGATGGTGCAACTTACGGGTTGATCCAAAAAGTTTCAGGGTCGACCGGGTCACGAATCGAGATGTGACCCGCCGTACCTTCAACATATCCCTTGCGAGCGATCACTCGAAAGGCACCGGCCATACGTTCCAGCATCCATTTGCGTTCTTGATACGGATCTGGGAATTTGGGAATGCCCTTGATAGGAGCACTTCTGCCAATGGTTGCACCGGTTCCATCAATAGTTGACAAGCCATCCATGAATGTGTCTTCGACCCTTGGGCGGAGTGCTTGCATCTTGGTGCTCTGATGTTCTGTTACCGAGGCTCGCGTTTGGATGGATTGCAATACGGTGGTAGCTGTAGCCATTTTTAGTATGTCAGAGGCAAAAGAATTGACTCCTCTGGATGTAGAAAGTGTTATGGATTCAATTCTGTACAATTTGACTGAGAAAACTTCAATCACGAGACAGCTGTGACACCGACTAGATCGATCCTGTTATCGTTCTGGGCTTCTTGTGAGAGCACCATGTCATGGATTCCAACTACCATTACAACACCCCAGAATCCGAACCCAGGGAGGCGAACCGACCAGATGGAACCATGCAAGACATTTGCCATGCGTATCACTGCAAGAGATCCCGACTCATTCCAGCTACGTGGAACTACTAGCCCGGGCAGCTGACAGCGACGCCTTATCTTGACGCCATCTTCAGCCCAAATTGGCTAAGGTGGATCCTGTCGGAGTCTCTTTCCCCATGACATTCTTGCGGGCGTTGTCTTATCGCAGCGCAATACAATAATTGACAACTTCGGAATTACTCAATACTTATCTGCTAATTGTCTCAGTTAATCTCGTATGTTTGATTCTTACCTTAGCTGCAGTTACGTGAGCGTAATAGCCTTGAGAAGTTAGTCGTGGTCAGACAACGCCATCGCAAGATATCATTTGTTCCTTCAGTCATGTTGAGAAGTCATCCCTATAGGGAAGGAAACGACGAAGACAATACCATCATAGAGGAGGGGCGATCTGCGCAGCGATTGTGCTTTGCATTCGAATACAAAGCGACGGCTTCCTCGGACACAATGCTTTCCTCGCCAGTCCATCTGCTGGGGCTGGCACGGCACATCGCATCGTCACCACGGTCACTTGGATATATTTAAACGTTTTATCTTTATACTCCATCGTTCATCTACATTATGTCTACAGTATCCATCACGCCTACAGCTGCTTCAACTCAAGGCCCTTGGGGCCGTGGCCTTGGACTCTGCTCCGGACAACGGGAACCCGACTATGATCTCTTGCAGCCCTTCGAAACCATGCCAGAGGAGATATCTGGTTCAACCGTATGGGTAAAGGAGGAGCTGAGTCAAAACACTGGGCGCTGGCTTTATCATTTTACCGAAGATCAGGTCAAACACGTCATTGCTGCCGTCCGCGATATCGAAAACCGAGGCTTTCAACTCTCTGAAGTCGACAAGACAACCTTCGAGCTCCCTGGCCCCTTTAAGGACTTTCTATATAGAATTCGAGACCAACTGATCAACGGCATCGGCTTCGTCGTGCTACGTGGTCTTCCCGTCGAATCTTGGACAACCCGACAAGCCTCGATCGCGTACCTAGGCATCGGTTCCTACATCGGCCGCCGATTGAGCCAAAATCGTCAGGGACACATGCTCGGACATATCAAAGACCTTGCTGAAGGCAAAGAAGTCAACGGGGAAGGCAGAATCTACCGTACGCAGAAAGCTCAGACGTACCACACGGATGAAAGCGACATCGTGGGTCTGCTTTGTCTTCACCAAGCGATGGAAGGCGGAGAGTCACAGGTGGTCTCCAGCCACAGCATCTACAACACTCTAAGACGAGAAAGACCAGATGTGCTACGCCAATTATGCCTGCCACACTGGTTCTATGATAGAAAGGGGGAGACGAGCGAGGGAGAAAAGGGGTGGATGCGTACTCCGGGCTATTACTATTACAAGGAGAAGCTCAGCATGAAGTGGGACTCTTACTATGTCGGAGCGCTGCAACGCTTCTGGGATGCTGGGCTTCTTCCACAGTACACGGATGCCCAGCGTGAGGCAATCCAGGTGATGGAGGAGATGTGCCGCCGACTATCGTTGGAAATGACGCTGCAGCAGGGCGATATCCAATTTGTCGCCAACACTCATAACCTTCATGCGCGATCTGCGTACAAGGATGATAACGATGTCACGAAGAAACGCTGGTTACAGAGACTTTGGCTTGCTACCTCAGAAGAGGAGGGCGGATGGCCATTGCCGTTTGCTGATAGTCGGTATGCTAAAAGAGGGGGTGTTCAAGTTAACGATACTCCTGAGTCGTATCCAACAGAGGCTGAGTAGGCAATAGCTACGCGTATTCTAGTTCAAAAGGACTAGAGAGTGAAGCTCTTCAGCATTAAAATATCTGTGAAGTCCGGTATTGGAAGAGAAAATTGTGTATGATATGTCATAAGAATAAGATTCATTATCATAGGTTCTTTAATCTTCACGGCGCTCCTTTGCGCGGTATTTATTCTCTTCTCGGAATCAGGCGACACCTTGCCTCGTCGTAGTCTAATCCGGATGAGGTGATCGCGATCATTAGTCACCTAGCTTGCAACAAGGTTTAAGGACCGCACTGTGTTCGGAACACAAATTCGCGCAAACCTTCACCTTGAACACATACCTAAACAGTGCTTAGCGGGGTAAGCTTTCCGTGATAACACCGTATCCATCAAGAGGCCCTGCTTATCTCGACGCGGTCCGAGAAAGGTGTGGTGTCTTGCCGCAAATTCCCGGTATGCCATCTGCGCCATGCCCAACTTCTCCTCACATTCAATCAAAGTCTCCGAGTGCTGACCTTGCATTCACGGGTGGGCATTACCCCGGAATTTCCACCGCAGGCGCCTTGATGAGGAGCCCGTCCGAGCCAGCCACCGGCGATCCGCTCCCGAGCATGACCCCACGATGCCGCCGCCTAAATCGGGACAGCGGTCGATGACCTTTACCGGGTACGTTTTGGAGAATGTCTCGGACCACTTTGACAGGGGTGTGGACTGACTTGTGCGCGATTCATTGGGCGACAACAGGTGCTGGACCTGCAAGAGGCGCAAGGTGAAGTGTGATGAGAGGTCTTCTGGTTGTGGGAACTGCGAGAAGATGAAGATCCCTTGCGAAGGCTACGGCATTAAGCTTCAGTGGATCAACGTTTCGAACCCATTTCTTGAGCAGGAGAAGCCTGGCAGTAGCAGTAATGGCAGAGGGAGAATACGGATTGGTAGGATTCTCATCCCATTACTTACCCTTTCTGCCCCCATGTCCTGGTATTAGTGGCTGATGCACATTTGGGGCCCTTTACAGGCCGTGATACAGGGCCAGAATATCAGATGAGAGACATTGACTCCTTCTTGGCATCCCTTGAAGAAGCACCAAACTCAAAGGGCATCATACAAGAAGGTCCTTTCTCTCTTTTTCAAGCCCATGACGGTAGTCACGAATCTGGCCAGAGTCACGACTTAGGAAGTCCCGATATTGCAGCCTCGGACTGCTCATTGGTCACCAATGCTCATCACAGCTCAGAATCAACACGGTCCCAGAAGGACGCAACGACCTCACCTATCTACACTGACTGCGCAAGCTCAAGTCCTTCATTCTCGACAGCACGAGAGGACGGATCTCCAAATCAGATTGGGCTCGATGTGGAGCTCATCAGAACCTCGGAGGATGACCATGCCACACCAGAATTCCAGCTCCAGGAAGAGTTCAACTCTTCGCTGGGCGACATTGCAGACCTATTAGAAGACTCAGTCGAGTTGTTGCCGATGCAGCCGCAAAATAACATTTCATCCATGAGACTACCGAGACGAATATCTACCAGCATATCAGGCGACGCAGTCATCGATAGACTTATGCATCACTACGTGGAGAACATCGCGAGCCTACTCCAGCCCATTCCACATCCCCAGAATCCTTATCGAAAGCTCTACGTCCCGGCAGCTCTCCAGGCAATATCGGAATGGCTGCCGAAAGCAAAAATGGCCACACCTACCGTTTCTTCAGTCATTTTTCACTCCCTTATAGCATCATCTGCTTTCCATCTCGGCAATTGTGGCCCCGAGCAGGCGAAATACCTTGCCCTCGGGTCGCAGCATCGCCAAGTAGCGCTGCATTGCTTACAGTCCGCCATCAACCCCGCCATGGCAACATCGGAATACAAGCTTCTCATGGTGGCCATGTTATCAATGGTGACCATTAGCAACGTGAGTTCCTTATCCCATTCCCCAAATGTGATGTGTGAAGTATGCTGAGCTTTATCACACAGTTCACGACAGGCAGTGATGCCGACTTTGTGGTCCACCTTCAAGGCACAAAACAGCTGCGGAAAACGCGAAGGCGATGGAAAGTCATCAGCAGAGCCACGCGGCAACTGAATGAAATTAGCGACTTTCTCTACCTCCTCACTCGCACAGTCTCATTCTCCTTCACGCCAGGGCCTTGGCCATCAGAGGGTACAGAGGATATAGACGAACCAATCGCCTCGCAGGCAGAGCCCGACAGCTGCTTCGGGTATATGTACGGGATCACACCCGCCATCGCTGTGGATATCGAGGAGACCTGCCGACTGGCGGAGTATCTCCTCTGGTACGAAGACACCGAAGAGCCCATCCCAGAGGGACTGCTCGAGGCCTGCGAAAGCCTTGGCGACCGACTCTGCAACTGGTCTCTAGGCCTCGAAGACGTCCGCCAAGCGATGAACCAGGATGCCGAAACCCTGGAAATCTTTCAACACCACGCGAATGCGTGGCATTTGGCTGCAGTCATTTACTACCACCGACGCATCCAAAAATGTCACAGCGAAAACCACCAGCAGCTCCTCGCCGAAATCGCCGAACACATGCACGCTGTCGAGGACATCAAAACGCGGTCGAAGTCCACAAAGACCAACTTCATGGCGCCCATAACGTGGCCTGCCTTTGTAGCTTCGTGCGACGCCAGCGATCGCGGACCGTGGGAGCACTGGTGGGAGAGGATCAAGTGCTACCGTGTCGCCAACAGCCGGACGCAGTGGAAGGTGGTTCAGCGTTTATGGGAAAGACGGGATGAACTAGAGCAAGCGGGCGTTGATACGTTTGATTGGATACAGGCGTTTAAAGACTTTGGGATTGCTTTGTTCCCAATCTGATTGTGAGATTATGCTGGCGCAAGGCATGGGATAGGGATTATTGGCGCTTTGATGATACTCCTTTAGACTTCTGAACTCTGTACATCAAGTTGAGAATTTGTTCACCTCGGCTACTAGTTGCAACTCGCTAGCTTGATAGCCCGACTTCGACCTACCTACCTTAGTCTCACCAGCTCTTCTCCCATCCTCTCTCGGAGCCCAGATCTTGAGCCCGTTGAGCTACCCCAATGCAAGTCGACGGAATGCAGTGCCGTCGCCGCACGCAGCTAAGTGAGGTGAGCTTCAGGCCGCGGGCCGAGCATCGTCCTCCTCCCCCGCATTCTCCAAGTAACATCACGATCCCAACCAAGACAAACCAAGACGAACCAAGCAAACAATCCGTCTTTTCTCCGCTCCGCCGATCCCTCAACACATTGATCTACTGCAATCAAGGCAAATGCTACCCAATCCCAGAACTTCCCTCACATCACCACGTGGGTCCGTTGTCAGTGCGGCCAACGTTCCGCTCACCTTGGTCGAAATAAGCAACGCGGGGTAGGTAGACTCCCGCCCTCGGGCATGGATATTTGACCTTGCGGACGTTTTCCGGAACGGAGAGTAGCCGCACCCCCTCCTCTCCATTGGATGTTTCAATCTGCCGAGCTTCTTCGCCGATGGGGCTTACACTCACACGTACCCCAGCCGCTGACGACGGGAACCTTTGGCAACCTGTTTGGGTTGTGTGGGCTGCGTCCGAACCACGGAGAGATACCCGAAGGTTTATATTCAGGCCATAGGGCGCAAAAATGGAGGTTGATCGCACTCGTTCCATGTGATTGTGATCGTGATTGCACTCGACCAACTTTCAACCTTCATCGACTTGCGGAGCCTGAAACTCTAGTGAATGTTGGCACCCTCCGACACCTAGCTCAAGGCCAACACAGAAGGCGATCCAGCATTGCCACGATGGACTCCTCGTACGCTTCGCGCCACGAGAAACTTGAAATCTCAGAGCTCGAAAATGGAGAGCATGAGCCTGTCACGAAGAAGGGGGAGATTGAGCGGATCGATGCAATAGCTACGGCGCAAGGCACAACGCTAGCTTCCTTTGCGCATCTGGATGAAAAGAAGATCCTGCGAAAGGTGAGGTTTTCATGCCCATTACCATCGTCAATGCATGGAGACTGACTGTTGAACTTCCAGATGGACATTCGACTCATCCCGATGCTGGCTTTACTCTACCTACTCTCATTCCTGGATCGCAAGTTTCCATCATTCCTTTCCTTTTGAGACTTATGACTGACAGCCCGGCCAGGTGGAAACATCGGAAACGCCAAGATCGAAGGACTCCAAGAAGACTTGGGAATGACGGCCGATCAATACAACTGGTGCCTCACCGTCTTCTTCTTCACCTACGCCGCGTTCGAGGTCCCGAGCAACCTGTTGCTGAAGAAGCTCCGCCCGAGCGTGTGGCTGCCGACCATCATGGTCGCGTGGGGCCTCGTCATGACCTTGATGGGCATCGTGAAGAACTACCACGGCCTATTGATAGCTCGCATCTTTCTCGGAGTGACGGAGGCCGGACTGTTTCCCGGTGTCGCAGTAAGTATTCTCTATGCTACATGTTACTATCAATTATCATTTCGGTCGGCGCGCGAGTGACAGTGTTAGCTGATAGATGATTAGTACTACTTGACGATGTGGTACTGCCGCCACGAAATCCAGCTTCGCCAAGCCATGTTCTTCTCGGCGGCTTCCATCGCTGGTGCCTTTAGCGGTCTCCTCGCGTTCGCGATTTCCAAGATGGACGGCATCGGTGGGCTGGAGGGATGGCGCTGGATCTTCATCCTTGAGGGTATCGTGACCGTCCTCGTTGCCGTCATGGCGTTCTTTGCACTCCACGACTTCCCTGAGACGGCCAAGTTCTTGACTGAGGAGGAGCGAGCGTTTATTGTCTTCCGACTGAAATACCAGGGCCAGGTGCAGGGCAAGCAAGAAAACCGCGTGCAAGTTGCCGAAGCGGAGGAGTTTAAGTGGAAATACGTCGTGGACGCGTTTACCGACTGGCAGATTTGGATCAACATCTTTGTGTACTGGGGTGTAAGGCTTCCTTTGACCACTATCACCGATGTATGGATGCTGACATTGGGTACTAGATTGTATGCCCGCTCTACGGAATCAGCCTGTTCCTCCCGACCATCATCCGAAACCTAAACTACACGTCCAGCACGGCGCAGCTGATGACTGTGCCGATTTATATCACGGCTGCAATTCTCGCCGTTATTGTGGCGTATATATCAGACAGGGTTGGCAAGAGAAGCCCCTTCATCGTCGGGTTCTTGTGCATGATGATTGTTGGATTCTCAATGTTAGTAGCCTATCGTGTTCTTCTCAGAGAGCTCCATGACTGACCGACCCACTACGCAGGTGCATATCAAGCTCGAACCCCAAAGTGGTCTACGGAGGCGTCTTCATAGCTGCTTGTTCCATCTACCCCGCCTTCCCAGGAGTCATCAGCTGGCTCTCGAACAACCTCGCCGGTAGTTACAAACGAAGCGCAGGAATGGCGCTCCAGATCGGCGTGGGAAACCTCGGTGGCGTAAGACACCCCCGTCTCAATATGATGTATGGATTGATGAGAGCAAAAGTACTGACTTTGAGAAGGCCATGGCATCCAACTTTTACCGCCAGAAGGATGGCCCGCGATATATCCTAGGCCACGCCCTCGAGCTCGGGTTCATATCGGTCGGTATCATCGCAGCACTGATTCTCATCTTCAGCTACATTGGCATTAACAAGAAGCGCGACCGGAAGATGGCGGCTGGGGAGGACAGCAAGTTTACTGCAGAGGAGCTGTCTGGACAGGGTGATCGAGCCGTAACTTTCCGGTACATGTGGTAGCGGCAGATGTTGATGGAGATGTCGTAATCTACGCCAAAGTACTCAATGAAACGAGATATGAGAAACTACTTATACGTGGTGAATGATGACATAAAAGCCTCAGAAATGCTGGATGGTCTCATAGCAATAGACGACCGCACCTCTCAGGCTCTGGGAGGCAGCTCGTATGTCCTACCGACAGGGTGTCGTTACTGGGAGCCCATACGATTAGAAACCGCTCTCATTGCAAGTTTGACTCGTGCGCGATATGACTGATTCCGGAGAGGGCAGGGTCCGAGTGGGGCCGTAGTGAGGGCCGGGGCTCGGGAACACCGCGCCTAGCCCCGGCGGGCAATACGGCAAGGGTTCAAGAAATGAACACTGTATGTATTGTAGCAGTCCCAGTCTTGAGGCAGCGGCTGTCTGTGGCGGAGAATTTTGAGAACGGCACATTATCCCAGGCTTTGTTCATCTGAACTTAGCAAGTTATGCTTACTTTCAACTACCCTCGCATCTTTCACTCTGAGCCTGCGACAGGGCTCTCATCGCGTGTTTGCTCATCTCATCGACGTCTCATTCAACTCATTTCTTTTTTTTTCCATTTCAATGGAAACGTATTGTAATTGCCTTTCGAACACTGTAATTGTGAATAGGTTAAGATATCCTGGCACGCTAAGCACTGGACGTGGAAGTATTCAGATGTTGTATTCAGTCATGTACAAAGCAGAACACCTCGAGATGTGTGACCGAAGTAGTTGACTCGACGTGAACGACCCGAATAGGTTAATGATGCACATGCAGAACGATACTGCCCTTGTCATTATGAGTAGTCTGCAGGCCTAGTGGAACGTTGATGTTACTGCTTACTATTCAATGCCAGCTCACGCAAACTGTCCTTCCAGACGCACTAAGGTGTGGCGGGCGGAACGCCGGGGTTCACAGGTGCGGGGCAACCGAATCCGCCCGTCTCACTTGCCCCCGGACACGGCAGCCCGAGCCCAGCGCAACTTCCCCCGGTCAACTGTCTTCTTTCCCAACAACGTGGCCTGCTACCGTGTCCTTCGGGTGTCATTTGCGACCTCTCTTGTTGACCCTCACATTCTGTGCTTTTGTCTTCTTTCTATCTCGAGCACTACGATAAATACCAGCTGGCCCATCACTGTAGGTGCCTGGCTCGGATCGCTCAGCGGAATATCAACTGCTTCCTTCTCAACCCAACACTACAGACATCATGGCCGCTGCTCTAGACGCCGTCCTCGCCAAGTACACCGCCTCTGGCCAAGACACGAATGACAAGCTGCTGGGCGCCTCATTCATCGTCATTAACAAAGATGGTATGGTCAGACTTCTTCCGGTTGTGTTCCTCAGACCTCCCCATCTGATGACAGCCACAGAAACCCTATATAGCAACGCAGCAGGTCGCCTTGATTTTCCCACCGAGGCGCGCCCTTGGGAACTCAACACGTTCACCTACGTAGCATCACTCACCAAGGCCATCACTTCCACCGCCGTCATGCAGCTAGTCGAGCAGGGCAAGCTCCGGCTCGACGACGACATGCGCAAGATTGTACCTGAGCTAGGAGACATGCAGATCCTCCGCGGCTTCGACGAAGACGAGAAGCCTATCCTAGAGGACAACACCACGCCTATCACACTCAGGTACCAGGATCATTGGAAAATGCCACATGACTGCTTTGGGTGACATACTGACGTAAACCACCCAGAATGCTCCTAACCCACACCGTGGGCCTGGGCTACGACTTGATGCCCGACCTCCAAAAATGGTCCGAATCCATCGGCCGCACCGTGACAAATCTCTCAGGTACGCTCGAAGGCTTCAAAACACCCCTCTTCTTCGTCCCAGGAGAAGGGTGGTACTACGGCACGGCTACCGACTGGGCAGGCCAGGCCCTGGAGCGCGTCACAGGCACAACCCTGAGCGCCTACCTCGCCCAGAACATCTTTGGCCCGCTCGGAATGAAAGACACGGGCTTCTGGCCGGAAAAGATGCTCCACGTCGCCGAACGGACCGCCGCATTCCAGATCCGCGGCAGCGACGGATCGTCTCTTAGTCCGGGGTCTAGTCCGCGCAACGTCAGTCCCAACGCAATTGACAGCGGCGGCGCAGGTCTATGGACTAC